AAAAAAAAAAGAAGAGAGACAGAGAGGAGAATGCACTGTTACTGTTTGTAGCGCTGGCGCTGTCATATTCAAATTGCTAATATGATTGGTGTTTACAGATTAGAAAACAAATATTTCACAAATATTACCCACTAATAATTTGTTGCCATGTAAACATGCAACAGAAGAGAGCAACAGCAAGCAGCAGTGTCTGCCACAGAGCAAGCAGCATAAAAAACCCATGCCCCATAACCATGAGATCGCCCCATCATGATCATCATGATGATCATGCCCCATGATGAGGCTGTATAAATGCAGCAAGTGTGGCGATAACCTTTTGACTCTGGGAGGGAAGGGCAGGGGGCACTGGGCAGGGGGACTGGTCTGTGGCTGCTTGGACGTGGCTCTTTGCGTTTTGTGCTAGTGCAAAACTGACAAATTGAATGAATAAAAGAGCAACAAGTGGTCCGGTCCGAACCGAAGCGGCTGGTTAAACATTTTGAATGAAAATGCCGCAGTCGCTGCCACAACACTGTGCACTGTGTCGTGCCTCTTGCCTCATGTGGCATGTTGTTGTTGTGTTGTGACTGGCTGTTTGGTTGAGGCGCAAAAACATAAATCGAAACACTTGCTGCGTATATCCCAAGACACAGCTCCACACTGCAACTCCAATCCCTCAGCTCCTAGCCGCCCACCGGCCCGTCCTAGCCTGTTGCTGGTGTGTCGCTTGGTGTTGCCCATTTGAGGCTCTCTGCTGCCTTCGGTAGGTGTTGCCTAGCAAAACAAAACCTCCAAGCCAAAGACACCAAAAAGCCTGGAAATGAAGTCGAAAATTGCAATTCCAAAATGTTTGCCCTCGGCTATGAAAGAAAAAAAAAAAAACAGACACAAACAAAATGTAGACTGTGGAGTGTGCAGTGCAGTGCAGTGGAGTGCAGAGCTGTGGTCAGTCATGTGGCATCTATTGGTTGTTGCATATGTGGATGGATCCTGGACAACCTCTTGCTTTTGCCTTCTCTTCCTGCTTGGCTTGGGTTTGGGTTTGGGTTTGACTTTGTGAGTTTGTGAGTTTGTGTGTGTCGCCGCTTAATGCGTGGCCGCGGCCGCCTCGTGAGGCGCTTTATTAATTCACTCGACGCTTGTTTCATATTTTTAACTCACCTCACCAAAGGGTACACGCATTTGTGGTAGAGGTACGTGCTGTATGGGGTTTTGGTTTGGGAGTTTGTGGTAAAAAAAAACTAACAAGTGATTTATTTTGGTTTACTTTTGGGATAGTTTGATGAATTCTGAGATGGCATAAACTTAAGTTGGTATTTAGCATGTGTAAAGCTGATAAATTATACATAAAAGTGATTGAAAGTGCTCTAAAGATCCCTAAAAGTCTCTCTAGATGAGCTCTAAACGAATTCTAAGGAAAATCAATATATTTTTTGTTGGTTTTGCTTTAAAGTTGACTTAAACTTGCCTAGAAATATATGGAAAAACAACGTGTTAAGTCTCTAGTTATTGATCTGTTAAATTCTTCCTATTAGAGGTATTAATATAAGAAAGAATTATAAAATTTAATAATTAATTAATGTTAATTTCAATATATTCCGATCAGAATTGTGCGACTGAATATTTCTTACGTTTTTTTGATTATTTTGCCAACAAATATTATGCCAAAAAATCACAACTAAAACTCCTTCTGCATTCAAAATTCACACTTTCTTATACGAAAAACGGACTTTAAAAATATGTTAACAACAAAATATCATAAAATGTTCCAACAATCCTTCAGCTAGGAGCTCAAAATTTGTCTTTTTCCTCAATTTTTTCGCTCCTTTTTCTGCATTCTCTCTCTCTCTCTCTCTCTGCAGCGCATCTCTTCGTCGCCTTTTACGTCTTAACATTTTCCCTGCTTGCTCACTGCTGCATTTTGTTGCGGGTGCGGACCCTCTCCAATGTTTCGCAGTTTTCCCCCTTGTTTTTTTTCTGTTTTATTGTGTTTGTGGCATAAATCGGCCCCCAGGTGTCTCTGGGCGAGTATTTCCCACGGATTAGTGCATAAATAAAAGAGGTCAGGAGAGCGGGGCACCCCTCAAATAAAAGTTAACTAGATATTTTACAGGCATGTGGCAATACCCCCACCCCTGCAGCAGCTTGCAGCCATCAAAAGTTGCGTCTTACTAGTTGCAGGGGCAACAGATTCTTTTTGGAGGAACAAATTGCTTTATTAGCCCGCAAAAGTCGATCGAAGGCAACAGCTTCATTTGTGGCTGGAGATTTCTGTGTGCCCCCAAGGTGGTCTCGTGGCATTTCCTTTAGCTCATTAACACCCAAAAAATAGTGGAGAGAGATGCATGCCACACGCAGCGGTTCTCACGCTGAAGAAATCCGCAAGTTTCAATTTAAGATTAGCAACACAAAAAACACAAAGGAATTGCCCAAGCAAACAGCAAAGGTATGGGCCATAATGATAATGCTTATAATAACACAGCGGTCAGCAAACAGGACGAAAGACCACACCAAAAGCTTGAGCTTGAGCGGCCTGATAAGCTGACAGCGGGGGAGGGGTAGCGAAAAGGTGAAGATTTGCAGCAGCGATAATCGTCGGCTTAAAGCGTGCGTAAGTCACGTTACGAAGCGGGGGAGAGGCAGAGAGTGAGGAGCGGGGCGCAAGCCGAAGAGAGCGTGGAGAAGGGCGCTAGCAGGGAGAGCGAGAGAAGCGCGAAGCAGGCAGTGAACAAAGCGAGAGAGCGCAAGGTGAACTTACCTAGAAGGTGGTACGCTCTCCGCTGTGGGGCGCACCAATAACTTATTCACCACGCTATCGCGGCAGAAAGGGACAGAGATAACGCTGCCCAGTGGTGAAGACGCCACCTGCTAAGTAAATTCACCTTGCGAGAGAGCAGCAGGCAGTCACCAAGGCGAGAGAGCAGCAGGCAGGGAGGGAGCATCACTGCTGGAGGACCTTGCCCTGGGTTGCAATCGCGATAAGCGCGACTTTTTTTGTTTGCCTCGACTACGTGCTAAGCCCTTGAGCCTTTTTGCGGTAATTCTGCGTTCATTTTAATTATACCCCACAAGAGGGCGGACACGCCCACGCGCACAAAAAAGGGCACCTCTGCTGGGACTCTCCTTCACCTCTCCTGCGCCTCTCCTGTTCCTCCCTCTCTCGCTCACCGCCACAACTTGGCCGGGGTCAATGCAACGCAAATTGCAGTGCCCAGGTCAATGTTTTGCCGCATAAATACTTAATTTGTGGCAACATTGATGAAGTCATCGAGGCAACAATTGCGCCGTCCAATTACCCAAAAAGACAGGACACAAGACAGAGCTTTTTGCACTGTAAATTTCTTTGGGTAAAGCAAACAAGAAGGCTGGGATTTCCCTCCTAATGATCCGAACCCGTGGAATCCACATCCACATCCGTGGCGCGTCGTGAACTTGGCGCCGTGTCATCCACCTCAAGATAATCGTGTACCAACTGGCATATATTCTCGGATGCCTCACTGAAGTTGCCCTCCTCGAGACCCTCGCCCACATAATGGTAGACAAAGGCGCGCCTCTGATATAGTTTATCGAACTTATTGACCAGCCGGCACCAGGCGATCCGAATGTTTGTATTATTTGAGACGGCAACGCAGGCGCTATTTGTGGGCGCCAAATCACCGCCCGGGATATACGCTGGCGGCATGCTCGAGACGCCAATTTTGAAGCCGGTGGGTGACCAGTCCACAAAGCGAAATGAACGCGCTCTGCGTATGTTTTCGAGTGCCAAATTGATCTCGTTTGTGGCAATGTCACCGCGATAGAGCAACACACAGGCCATGTACTTGCCATGCAATGGATTGCAGCGCACCATTTGGTTGCTCATCTGGAAACACTGTCCCGTCAGCTGGGACGTGGACATGTTGACGAATTGCGAGTGCGAATGTGGCACGAGTGGTGCATAATTGATCAAGGGATAATGGATGCGCGGATACGGCACCAGATTCGTTTGCAGCTCCTGAAAACTGACAGCCGACTGACCGCCAAAACGCTGCGAGGCCGTAAAACCCGCTACCACTTGGCCAATTATGCGATTCAGATTGGTGTAGGTCGGCGCGGGCACGCTCAAGGTATTGGCGCAGATGTCATATAAAGCCTCATTGTCCACAATAAAAGAGACATCTGCACAGTCCATGGAGAAGTGTGTGGCCAGCAGAGCATTGTAGGGCTCCACAATCACAGGGGAAATGCTGGGAAGGCAAGAAATTCAAGGAGAAATCCAAGCAGCAAAGTTTTCTGGTACTTACGACGGCGATGGATACACCAAAAACTCCACAATTGTCATCTTTTTGCCAAAATCCTCCACCAGTTTCTCCATGATGCGCGTGCCCAGCCCCGAGCCTGTGCCACCGCCTATCGCTCTATAGACCAAGAAACCCCTGAGACTGTGACAACGATCGGCCACGCGTCTGATGGCATTCATGGAGCGATCCAATAGCTCGCTGGCCATCAGATTGTAGCCACGTGAAAAGTTGCTGCCGCTGTCATCCTTGCCGCTGATGAGGGTGTCCGGATGAAAGAGATTTTTATAGGCGCCAGTGCGGATTTCATCTGCAAAAGGGAAAGGTTAATAAACGGGCAACAAAAAGAAAGTTCCGGCACCCACCAATTACCGTCGGTTCGGTGTCTATCATGACGAGTCTCGGCTGCACGCATGCCTGCTGGCTGGTGCCCTCGAAGAAGGTCAAAAAGGAATCATCTGTTGGCTGTTGCATCAGGCGACCATTGCCCATGACGCCATGTTCCAGGCAATAGAGCTCCCAGCAGGCATTGGCTATCTGCACCCCCGCCTGGCCAATATGTATTTGGATAATCTCCCCTTTGCCAGCCATCGAACATTGCTGCGCCTACGGTTAATTTTTGGGCTTTAAATTGCTTTAAATATTAGAGTTTGTTTTGGAATTTGTTGAGCATTTTCTTAGAATTTTGTTGTAGATTTTTGTATGCCTGACAGTTAAATCCATGGCCAGGAAAAATGCGTCCAGTACGTAACATCGATTTATTGTCCGCGCGCGGATTTATCAGTTTTTCTTTTGTTTTTTTTTGTTCTTTCAAAGCGTTGAATACATTCAGATATCGTTTATAGTTATAGATCATAGATTATAGATTTAGTACTTAAAGTTAGTTAGGTATTTCCGTGCTCGATTAAGTAAGACAGAGAGAGAGAGAGTGGGTTGGACCATATAGAATGTGTTGAAACTTTAAGAGAGTTTTGGAGAGCTCCCAATAAAGGTATAAATATTTATATATATCATTATATATAGCTGTATGTGTGTGTATAATACAAAGCAGTCATCGCGGTACATAAATAATTTACAAAACACAAATTACAAATAATAATACAATCATTTTTTAGGTAGATTTCTTTTGTTCCTTTTTTGGGTTCTTTGTTCGAGGACTAGAAAGGTTTTAGGCTGCACATTTTATACACTTGAAGTTTGTTAGGAATGGCGTGTGATTTTCAGAACTATACGATAGGCAGAGTAGGGGCATTAAGAATACTTTTATCAAAGGAAAATGTCCTCGAAGAAACTCTTGCAGCTGTTTTCCGTGTCAATTTTTGGGTGGTTAAATTGCAGCTGCAATTTGCAGCAACTTTAACATGGAATTCTTGCAAGTTTTAAATATAGAATTGCTCGATTTGTAAGAAATATTAAAGCTTAAGCTAAAACATGGAACATTTGTGAAACTTTTAAGCTGCAAAGTTGCTGCTTAAAATATTTGTTTAGGGACTAGAAACAGTTTTCTGTCAAACTGCAAGACTTTCTGGGTTAACTTGGGCATGCACTTGGCATTTGTGGACTAGAAATGAATGTCTAGTCAATGTGCTATGCAATAGATAAAGATAGATAGGTGTGGATAGATAGGTGCTGATAGATAGATAGCTATGGGATAACAGAGAGTTGAAAATAGAGTGTGGAACTCTGCCTAAATTGATAGCTGCAGGCCTTCAACATGGTCATGGAATACAAATAGAACAAGTGGAACACTGTGTTGCATTATAAAAGGGAATTATATGAGCAAAAAATGCCAAAGAATAGCTCATTTTAGAGCTAAAGCCTTAAATTCTGCTCTTGCAGCTGCTTCACATCAAAAACTTACATTTACACGGTTGAAATTCTTAGGCTAATACTTGAAACTTAATGCCGTTGAAGAGTTATTCGTATGTTTCCATCTTTCCTCTTTGCTTAACCAGAAGAATTATGGCAATAGCTTTCACCACTCCGACGCTAAAATTCATCTCCAATTGCAACATTTTCATGGCTTACTAAGTGGCATTTAAAGGCGCTCAATGGTACTTCTCCCTGGGCCAATTTTCACTTTCTAGCTCGCTCTTTCGCTGCGCCTATCCTATAGTTCTGAAATGCACTTTAACTAGCTGTCATTTTGGTTATTAATTTGTTTTTCACGCGCCTAATCTAAAGTAGCGACTGCTCCAGCAGAATGCGCTCAAAGCCAGGCGGTGGACCGTGCGTAAAGTTATCCAAAATGATGTCCAAAATGGCGCCATTGCCCACTGCAAAAGGAATTTTAGAGAGAAATTATGGGTAAACCATGGAACTGACTAAAACCTACCGTAGATGACAGGAAACAGCGCCGAGCCGCGCACATTTCGGAATGGCACTTCGAGGTTTTTGCCATTGAAATAGAAATTGAGTTCCACATGATCAAATGCAACGCCCACAATGTCACCCTCGTCGGGAAAGTCACGCTGTGGCGCACCGATCAATGTTGCCCCACCAATGCTCACATTTGGTGGCGCCTCCACGCCCGTGGTCATTAGCAAATCCTCCTGCTGCAGATCCTCAATGGAAATGAGACCAGCTGCAGCGGCTGCACTATTGTTTAGAATGCCATTTACGCTGGTCTTGGTGATGCCGCCCGATGGCGGCTGTGTCGTGCAGGCAGCCACCACGGGTCGAAATTCCTCATCGTTGTGCCGTGTGGCATTGTCGGAGCACAGGCACCAGGACTCCCGATCAGCGCCACCATTTTTGCGACTCAAATCGGTTTGGCGTGTGGCCAGGCCAATGGACCAGCTGCCGCTCTGCTGAATTTTCACCTCAAAGTAGGATTTGGATTGGACGAGCGGCGCAGTGGCCAGAACGCCGCCAGTGCCTGTGACCCGCAGCTGATGTGAGAGCAGTATGACATCGGGACCTGTAGGGGGATAAATTGTACATGTTTAGCCTTTCTTTGGGGCCTATTTGTTGTCTCTTTTGATACCCATATGTGCCGCATCCAGGTGTACGTCGGGCTCCCGCAGCCGACTGGCAGCTGTCATGGGTTTCCTCAGTTGTCCGCCATTTAGGCACGTGCGTAGGCAGCAAAACATTCCAACAGGCTATGGCTGGGTGGGGGCAAATACTTTACGTTTATCTCAAGTTTCCTTTTTTTTATGGATTTTCGTTCTTTTGTTTGCCAAATATTTATTTATTTTGACCAGCGCTCAGTGTGACTGCGGAGTTATCGACAAAAAATACAGTCGGATTCGCAGAAATCTACCAAAATATAGCTTCTGATTGTTAAAATATACTGTAAATATACCGATGACGCTGTTATGCGTAACAGCTGTGAATGCTGAACAGCTCTGCTAACCTTAACAGGAGTAAAGGCTGTACATAGCCAGTGCCCAGCCACGACACCTATGGGCCATTTTGGAGTAAATCTGCAAACGCTGGGCAACATGTACGTAGCTACATGTAGATGTTGCATAAATGTTGGTCAACATTGATATAAATTCAATGTTGCAAAGGCAGCTGTTAAACTGTGAATCAGGTGGCGCCACTGCCATGTGTAATTGACATGTATTTGTCATGTAGAGAAACACGAATCTCTTTTTGAAACCAAGAAAAACTATTTTTAAATATTAAGATATTTAATTAAATCTAAATACAAAAAATTAAAATTATAAAAAATCAAAGGCGTTTTTTGGTTTTTAATTTTTTCAACAGAACAGCCAGACACAAGTTTTTAAATGCAATGATCTCTATTTAACATACTTTCTCGTGCCTAAAAATAATACAAAATCCACTGAAATTGCTCTCTATATTTGTATATTCTTGTATTCCAAAGTTCTCAGATTACTCCTCTGCACACTTGTCATAATTGGCCACCAAATTCCTATACAAATTCGACACCCGCGAACTCTTGTGGCAGAGCGTACCCCCGCCACGTCCCAGTTGTGCCTGCTGTCGATTAATATCCCCCACACAGATCCAATCGCCACCGCCGACACGCCAGTGATAGAGCAAAATGCCCGTGGGACGGGACACGGCCCACTTGGAGTGATCTTGGGTGGTCTTAAAGCTCACAGAGAGCTCCAGATCCGCTACCGATTCCACATTGAAGACCTTGTCGGAGCTGTCGCAGCGATTGGGCAGATTTCCAGCACCATCGCGCCACGCCTCCACAAAGAGGCTGACATCGAGAGCAGGTGCGACCACATCCGCATAGAGCTCCACATTGGCGCGTCCACTTTTGCCAAAGACTCGAAACTTCTTGCCGCCCAAGGAGCGCAGCTCGAGGTCCGTCTGGTAGGGCGACTCCGTGCGCCACTGCCCGTGCATGGCACGCTCCAGGCTGGGGAACAGCAGATCCGAGCGCTGCAGCAGCGGATTCCTTTCGTAGTAGAAATGTGGCTCATTGTAGACCAACGCTTGGCCCACCTTCTCCAGATCCTCGGCCTTCACCGTGATGCAGAGCATGCTCTGGGCGTAATGCTCACCCGTTGTGGGATACGCGTAGTCCGGTAGAGTGGGAAATTTTGGCACCGAATGCACCAGCCACACGCCCGTCTCCCCATCACTGCCCACGAGGCCCTTGGTGTGGCCGCCCGTGCTGAACACCGTGCCATTGGGCCACTCATCGTTGTAGGCAGCGAGCAGAATGTGCTTGGGATCTGCGTTCAAGGCATTGATGGTCTGTGCGGGCAGGGAGTCGGCATCGCTCACCCGCTTACCCGACAACTGCCAGCTGTCGTAGCTGTTGCTGGTCACATAGAGATATCTCAGGCCACTCACATCCTTGCCAAGATCGTTTTGTTGATAGTGTTTGGGCAGCTTGTACAAGTGCCACCTGCAGGAGATCAAGATAGACTTGAGTTTGGGTAGGTTTGGGTGTAAAGTTGTCTGGCACTCACCAATCCACATCGCTGCCTTGCTCATCCTTGCAGGAGACTTTCCTGTTCTCAGTCGCTTGGGTCAGCCAGCATTGGCTGATAAATCCCATGAGCAGGAGCACAGCACACAAAGATTTCATTCTCACAACCTCGCAGTAGCTCTGTTGGCACACAACTGTCTGGCTGATAGATAGGTTCAATCCAATCCCATGCCAAAAACAGGCAAACTCTCCCCCGATCTCTCTCTCTCTCTCTGTGTTGCTCTCTCCTAAAGGCTCGTAAGTCTCAGCTCTCTTCCTGTTTCGTTTCCTTTATCTTTGTTTGAGATGTGAGCTCAAAAACTGACCCGTTTCGGGTTTGTCCCCTTCGCTTATCAACACTCTGTGTGTGTCTGCCATCAGAGGTTTTAGCAACCTATTGCTAAAGATCATTTGAAAACAAGACCCAACTGAGCGATAAGCAGCGAGTGAGTGTAATGTGATTGAGTATTCGCAACAGAAGATTCTCCTTAATAATTTTTGAACAATTTTTCTAGTGTTGAAATGGTTAAAATTTATGGAAAATGTACCAAGAATTAGTAGTTCATAACTTCACTGCCGTCTGCTAGCGCTTACTAATCGAATACGAATAAGCCATAGTGGATAAATAATGATCGAAAAGCGATAAATAAATATTAAGCAATAAATAAATTCGTGAGAAATAATTACTTAAAAATAATACAAGTAAAATAATCGTGTAATAATAATAAAATAGTTGAATAATTATCTAGGCATATTGAAACAGATGAATAATAATTGAAAAGTTATTAAAACGATAAATAAACAGGTAAAAATAATAAAATAATTTAATTATAATGTAAAAATAATAAAGCCGATGAATAATAAAACAAATAATTAAAGAAATTCGATCAATATTCATCTAAAAACATCTAAAAAAAGAACAAATAATACACCCAAAAATAAATCGTGTATAAAATAATATAACATCAATAAATGTTCATTGGTTTCATAAATATTGGATGCAAAAAATACATTTCTATAGGCACTTTCCACTCAGTTAATGTTAAACGTTCCAGTACCGCACCACACAAAAACGATATACCCTCCATAATTAATGGTCATCAACTAAAAACCACAAACAAAGTACAAAGATTTTGCTCCACTTATCACTCCGCTGGGCAAATAGCGAATCCCCCCACCGCCCTTGCCGATTGATGAGCATCAACCGCCGCCACAACAAATTCCATGCTTTACAATTACACAAAACAATTGTTAAAGTTTTTATTTATTATTTGTATTATTATTATTATAATTTGTCGCCTGCTGCAAACTGCGATTTGTTTCGTCATCGTTTTTGTTTTTTTTCCCCATCAGACCCGGATATACATATAACGTACCATATGCTGCCACTCACCGACTCACTTCTTCGATTGCTTGAAAATATTTTGCATTATCAAATTGTATAATTTGTATCTGGGCAGGGGAGGGGAAAATCTCTGCTGTGACAATTATTTATAATTCGAAATAAACGGCATTATGTAAATTGTAATTTGAATTGCATTTCCATTACTGTCTCTAAACTTTCTTTCCTTGCGGTTCTAGCCAATCATTTTCTTTATTTGCCAATCGGTTTTTGGGGGATATATAACATACCGATAACTGCACCGATCTGTAATGGGTTTCGTCTATCATTTTTTTGGTATTTCGTATGCAACAATACATTTAAACTCACAAATACAATATTTTCGCTAAATACTTTTTTTTTATAGTAGTTAATAATTTATTAATATTCTTTTTGTATGGTTCATTTTTTTTTGTTGCTTTTTTGTTTTTTAATTATATATATATATATACATATACATATGTATATATATATAAAGAACAAGGCTGATATTTATATTTATATGTATACGATTTTTTGTTACTGCTTTATGTAAGTTTTCTTTTTCTTTTCTTTTAATAATATTTAGCTATTTGTTTTGTGTTTTTTTTTGTTTGCTTCAAAAATCAATTGGTTTTTTTTTTGTTTTCTTTACATTATTAGCAAAAGATTTCCTTTGTTTCGAAAGAAAGTAATAATTAATTGTTTTGTTTTTTGCTTGCAGAAAATGCTAAATAAATGAGCCTCAAAATAGACAATTATTTGCCATACTTTTGTTGTTGTTTTGTTAATATTAATATTTAATATTATCCTTTGCCGCCATTACGCTTTTTATTTCGTATGATTTACTGATAAAAATTGACTCAACTTTCGAGTGATTTATCCTTGATAATAGATTTCATAATTGGTTTTCTTTCTGCTGCTGCTTTTAGACATATCTATAAAGATATAGGTTGTATATATCATATATATATATATATATATATAGTTGTAATCGGGCACGAGTTTGATATGTTTTCGACTTGTGTGTTTATGCTGTTTGCTGCTTGATATTTTCAATATTCAATATCAGTTGGTTTTTTTTCCCACTAAACTTAACTCCCTCTATAAGTATATTCCCTATACTATATACTTTACCATATATATTGTATGCATAGTATTACAAATTTACAGCAAAATGTCTCTCCCATGGTCGGTCGTTCATGTCGCTATGCCTTTTGTGTGTACTGTACTAATATAATGTCACACCGTACTCTAGTATTTGAATGACATGAGAGATGCATATATATTTTGTATAGTTTTTGGTTTGTTTCAAAATTTTCACTAATTTAAAATTCGTTTCTTCAAAGGTTTTTGCTTTTTATCTTGTGTGTGTCTGAGTGAAACAATAAGTGGATGTTGTTGTTTTGTTTAACGAACAAAATGTAAATGTTTTTATTATGCATAATTAATACCGTCAATTGAAAAAGTTTTCTAAGTTAAGGCTACACAAAATATATATCGTATATGTATGGTAGGGTAGGGGAATTTGGGGGCGGGAATACATAATAGATTACACATAAATTACTTAGAAATTAGTAGATATTATTATTCATTTATTTAGGCAAACATAAGGCAATCAATTGGGGTAAGGATAAAAATACATTATAAGCGATGGAAAATTATAACAAAAAAATTACAAATACAAATACAATAAATATTTAATTGTTTTATTTGCTTTTCTGTACTGTCTTTCTATTACAGCTACTATTATGCCATTTTACTTGGTAAGTAGTTCCATAATCTATTACTAAGCTTATGTTTTCTTTTCCTTCAATTGTATTCTTGTTTCGATTTCTTTTTTCTTTTTGTTTTTGGTAACTGCTTTACTGCCTTTTTATGCTTATAATGTTTTAAAAAAGTGTTTAAAAACCACATCAAAACATATCGCTTTTATTGTAAAAGTTTTCTCCATCTTCATTAGCTTCTTCCCATTTATCCATCCATTCTTTATCGTTTATCCATTTGTTACTTCTTTTTGCTGATATGTATCTGTTGTTGTTTTTCCCATTGTTTTGTTATGTTTCAAAAATGTTTTTGAATATATCTATATATATAATATATATGTATATATACTATATGTGTGGTGTATATATATTCATATAATGTTCCCATAATTCATATTGTTTAGTTTAGGTTTTTTTTTCTTTCTTACTTTTCCTTCTTTCATTTTCCAATGTCATTCTTTAGTTTATTCTGTTTTTACGTTCTAGGTGTGGATTTCTTTTTTCTTGATGATATCTAAACTAGAAATCGGAAATCTAAATAGCTATGAAATTTGTTTTAGTTTCGAAGAATGTTTGAAAAATCAAGCCTCTGGGGTTTGTGGGGGGAATTTGGTGGAACGATCAATTCCATCGCGTTGGTAGGGGGTATGAAATTGCACACAAAATGTACCTTAAATATACACACACACACACATAACACACAAACATTTTCCATTGCTTTTCATTTTGTTTGTTGCATACTTTTAGGCGCACTCGCCTTTAACCTTTGCAAACACTCTTCCTTTCTCCGTCTTAAAAGCTAAAAATTAATTTCGAAAATATTTGTTGTTGTTTTACACATTTTTAGCGTCTATTAATTGGTTTTTTGTTTTAATTCACTTGCTTACTCGTTTAATTGTAAATATTTGTTGTTTAAATTGTTGGTTTTGAAAGGCGCAATTTTATGATATGCATTAGTATTATAATATAATTAAACATTTCTTCTCCTCCTACTCCTCCTTAAACACTAGAACCTTTAACTAATTTATTTCCCTTATATTTCTGTTTGTTTCTGTCTGTTTCGTGTCTCTGTGTGTGCGTGTGTGTGTTGGTTTTAGGATTACAGACTTATAGTTAGAGACTTTTCTGATGATATTTTCCGATGTTTGAACCAACGCGATGCTGAGATGAAAGAATGATTTTTGTTTGGGGGGGGGGGGGGGGGGGGGGGGGGAAGGGAAAGACAAGAAATGTTTTTGGGGGGGATAGGTGTTTTAATTTTAGCAAAAAGTTTGGGAGAAAAAATAAAGAGAAAAAATAAAANATGTGTGTGAAACTTTACCAATTCTTAATCGATAAATCGATTTGTTTTAGTTTTTTTTTCATATTTTCTCATAACAATTGTTTCCAATATGCCTTTGGTATGTCTAGTCACATTTCTAAAAAAAACCCTTAAACTTAAAACAAATCCTTAAAAACGAAACCATTACAAATTAGTATATATTTTGTTTCATATAATTGTTGTTTAACAAATTGTGTGGTAAAGTTTTGTTTTTGTTTTTGCTTGTTAAATTATTAAGGACAACTTTGGTAAAATATTTAAAGATTTTATCCCGTTTATTATTTTATACTTAAAAATTGCATTAAAAAATAATAACTGAACGAACTCTCTAGAAAATAAACTTCAGCTTTTGTTTTGCTTTTGAATATTCTTCTTGCTGTTTCCTTTTGTTAGTTAGTTTAAGTTTAAGTTTTATATTTTGTTTTAGTTGTTTTAGTTACAATTTGAATTTGTTCTTTGTGTAGTTCTTGTTGTTGTTTGTTTTGCTACGTAAGATGATATGTAAATTGATTTTATTTACTCGTCCTTTTCGCTCGAAGCTCTTATATCCCTCTGCTCCTATCACCCTTCTGTATCTCTTGGATCCTGCACGTTCCTCCCCTGATCTTTCTGCGCCCCCATCTAAATCGTTGGTTGTTTTTTGTTGTTTGTTTGTTAGCAAGAAATGTGATTTGATTGTTCTAGCATTTCGAAATGTAGTTAAGGAATAGTCTTTAGGAAGGGAGTCCCTTTGTAGTAAGTCTTTGTCGGGGGAAATTCTCGAAAAAAAATCTTTGAAAAGTAATTAAAACATTTTGCTTGGGCGGAAAGTTGTCTTCAGAGTGTCCTTTCATTTCTTTTTGTTTCTTTTTTGTTTGTCTAGAAAATCTGTGTATGTATTTTGTAGATCTTTACGAGTCTTTTATCTTTACTACAGCGCGGCGCACACGCAACCTGCAACATTATTTCGAGTAAATTTTCAAATTCATTTTTTAACAAATAAATTGTTGTTTTTTTTATCATTTTGTTATTGCGAAACCAGCTTTCAGTAATGACATCGACTACACTCGTTGTTTGTTCATTTTTGTTTGCTTGAATTAATTGTTCTGAAAAATTTCCACTTGTTTTCTTTTTATAATCTTATTAATTATACAAATTAATTACCATTAATGCAAATACATTAATTGATGTATTTATTTTTTGTGTGTGTTTTTTTTAATCTTTTCTTTAGTTTTTATAATTCTAGAAAGAGAGCTATTTAAAGGGCACATTCGGTTAAGCTATAATTATATATTTTTTTTAATTCTTAAATTTTCATTTATTTTTATATTTTTAATAAGATGCTGACAAACAAAAACCAAAAAATGAAGTTGAAAAATCATAAATTTCATGTTTCAATTCCATATTTTTGTGGTTGAACGATTGATGGGTATGGATGAGGGGAAGATGGGTTTTAGGAGCAGGGATCTTTAATCGTAAAGCAAAACAAAATCAATTCAACAAAAAGAGAACTTCCAACAAAACCAAAAAAATTCTTCTTGTTTCAGCTTCTTTTATGTTTTTGCTATATATAATTAATATGTATTATAAATATATACACATATATATAGGGTTTATGTATATGTATGCATATATATATATGTTTATAGGGGGCATATCATCGGCTGTTTTGGTTTTTACTAACTTTAGTTTAAGTAGTTCGCTCAGCTTTTTCCGATCTATCGTATATTTTGTATATTTTACTACAAGTTTTATCCCATTTTCGTTTTTATGTTATGCTTTTTGTTTTTGTTTTTATTTTTTTGGTTCCTCTACAATCTTCTGTTGCTTTTCTGCCTTCTGCTGCTGCTTTTCTTTCATCTGTCGAAAAATTTCACTAAACTGGGATTACGGGGGTTTTCGCTTTCTCTCTCTCTCTCTCTCTCTCTCAACGTTTTCCTTCCTTCTCAGCTATAAATTAACTTTCTTTTTTTTGTTCTTTCATTTTTTATAGTTTTTTTTTAAGTTTTTCTGTTGTTTGTTTGCTTTTGTTCTAGAACTAAAGTTTTTTTCTTGTTTTTAATTTGTTTTTTGCCTCCTCTCTTCTTATCGCATGAATCCGTTGCATGCGGGAGCTCCTATTGACCTATGAACTCAAACTCAAATGTGTCAGCCCATCAGGCTGCTATGTGACTGACTGCCGGCAACACATACGAGTAGATGTGATGTGTCTGCTGCTGCTGCAGCGGCTGCTGGTGGTGCTGCAGCAAATGCGTTGCTCCTCCTCCTCCTTGGAGTTGGAATCGTCAGGTTGCTGTCGGCGTCATCAAGAACTGTTGCTGCTGATGGTGATGATGATGATGATGCTGATGATGGTGGCTCAGGTGTTGCTGTTGCTGCTGCTGTTGTTGCTGCTGTTGCTGCTGTTGCTGGTGTTGCTGCTGCTGCTGCTGATGATGGTGGTGCGCTGCCTGCTGATGGTAATGCTGCGCTGCCGCTGCTGCTGCTGCTGCTGCATGTTGCTGCTGTTGTTGCTGATGTACTTGCGTCTGTTGCTGTTGCTGCTGCTGCTGCTGTTGTTGTTGCATTTCTCTTTCTAGTTTCTTAGCAAGCAAATCATGCCGTGATTCCATACCCGCTCCTCTGTAAATAATGTAGGGAATGTTTTTCAATTTAGTAAATGTTTAATTTATAATTAAGTTTTTTTGGGGTTTGTTTTTCGGTGGTTGCACAACATGCTCTCAATTTGTGGGTGCTCTGAGTGATTTTTTTAGAACATGCTTGGGTTACTTTTGGATTTGTTAGATTTTAGTTAAGGTTTAATTAAATATTTTATTTTTAAGTACGTTCTGCAGCTTACAAATTAATAAATTTACTTTTATTTTTAAAAACTGCTGTGGTTTTTCATGTACAGTTTCTGGTAAAAATTTATTTGAAATAGTGTTTTATTCATGCAAACTGCAAATTAAAAAGTTAAACTCATTGGTAAAAATTGACAGCTTTAATTTTGCCTTGACCAGGATTTTAATGGCTGTGACAGCACAAAACCTTCCAAATTTACCAAGAAGGAAGGCAAATGAAATGAAATTTAATGAAATTAAATTTGTGTCGGTGGAAAACCTATACAAAAGACAGCCTCAATACCTTCGTCGAATAGGTTTATCTAAAAAAAACTCTTGTAAAAAGTCAAAATGGCATAAAATACCGAATGTATTTATGTTTAAAATTTGTCAAAAAATACCCTAAGCAAAAAAATCATCGGTTGGAAACCTGTGCACCTAAAGCAGCTGCAGACTGACGTTCTTCCTCACTTTTTAGCGTATGCGAAGGGGCAGTGGAGTGTGGCATTCAACGGTGTGGCACAGACTGGTGTGGCAATATGGGTGTGGTGGCATGCGTTTAATTTTCTGCATTTTTTATAAAGTTTTCTTCATCTCCCACACACGACTGCTGCTGCTGCTGCTGCTGCTGCTGTTTTTTCTTGCAGCAAATTGAAAAACTAAATTTATGTGGTATTTTAGCATTTTGAAAGACGTGAGAGGCAACAAACGCTCCAGAGCACACACACAAATACACACAGACACATGTGGCATGAGTTAAGAGGGGGAGATGTTTTGAGAGTGAGAGAGAAAGAGAAGTGCTTAAGTCTCAACGGAAGCCAACATTTATAGAGCGGATGTCTAGGGAAAAGTTCTACCCTATGCTGCTCACTCTTTCGCTCTTAATATTTACGTTGCCATCTCTTTCACTTTATGACCAGCTGTCCTACTCCCTCTCTCTTGCTCTTTATGACCACCTGTCTTACTCGCTCTTTTCCCTCTAACTTTTACTATCATAATCAAGTCATAACTTGTTTTGGGGTACTTTTCCACTGCATTTTGTGTGTGTTATAATTTGTATTTAAATGTGGCTCCAATTGTTATGGGCCACTCCTTATACACCCACTCCCACTCCCACTAACACACATATACAAACACACACACACACACACACATACATACATTATGGGCATCCCTTGGGCGGGCTCTTACTTGTTTCTGGTGCTGCTGTTTGCTGCTGCTGCTGCTGTTGCTGTTGTTTCGAGTGGTTGTCGAAGGTGGTTGGTGGGTGGTTGGAGGTGGTGGTGGTAGCATGCAAAGTAAACGAGCACCAAAGCTTAACAATAACAGTTTGCAAAATTTTATAAATATTTAATGGGGTTCGCTCTGGCTTTAGCTAAAAAGGGTCTCCACGCTTTAGAGGATTTGTTGCTGGACCTGGACCCCTTTTTTTTTGTTTTGGTGGATTGAATGTTGGGTTTTGCATCTAATATTTATGGGTCAAATGGTGTCTCAGTGTGTGTGTGTGTGAGTGCAAGAGATTAGATTTTTAAGAGGCAACTAAGGCTGGGAATTGTTGGCCAAGACTATAGAACACACAGATGATTTGGGTAGTCGATTGGTGAACGATTTCTTAATAAGAAAATGAGAGTGTAAGCTGTGCAGTCATGCATTTAAATAGCAGAAAGTAGAGCACTGAGATGGCTCTATTTAAGTAAGAAAATGAGCGAGAATATGCGGCTAAAGTTAATATAGAAATGGGCAAGAAGGTATATAACATAATATCAGTGTAAGTGCATTGTTTTGAGCGCTAAGAGGCGTTTATTTAAGGAAAGGAATGGGAGAATAAGCTCAAAAATTACTGAGAGAGTAACGGACCAAGAGGCAACAACAGATTGGTAAGTGCACCCAGCAATCAGCTGCCTCGTCTATGCGTTCTATTTAATATTTTTCTAAGTTCGTGCTTAAATTAAAAATGTTTTAAAATTGTTTATAGTTAAAATGAAGTTTAGTAAAGCTAAAACAGATAGTTTAGAGGGATAGTCAGGAAGCTAAGAATAGTTGGTGAAATCATATTACACATCTATGGTTCAGCTAGGGCACATCTATACATAGATATGTTTTTCTCTTTCTTTAATCACATTTTTGTTTCACTCGGAATTGAATACATACGTCTCTAAAGAGATGATTTTGGTGGTGCTGATTTGAAGGATGATGAAGTTGGTTGTGGTGCTGTAGTGAGTTAACAACAACGCTAGTGGTGTTGGTGGTGCTATCATTGGTGCCGTTGTTGGTGCAATCTGTTGCCATTGGCAGCTGTTGCTGTTGGAGTAGCTGTTGTTGAAACTGCTGCTGTTGCAAGTGCTGTTGCTGTTGCTGCTGCTGCTGCTGCTGCTGCTGCTGTTGTTGCAAGTGCTGCTGTAGCTGTAGCTGCTCACTGCCATTCAATATATAGAGCTGTGGTGGTGGTGGTGGTGGCGGTGCTATGGCTTGCTGTTGTTGTGCTTTCCCCACAATTGTGGTTATATCGTTGGACATTTTATTCTTTGCATATTCGATCCGTATGGATCCACGATCGGAGCTTAGTAGATACTTGCCCTGCAGCTGTTGCATGGCCTGGGCGGCGCTTGGTGCATCCTTGAACTCAATAAATGCCACTGGATGCTGCTGTTGTTGAAGTTGTTGTTGCTGAGTGATGCTGCTGCTGTTGTTGTTGTTATTGATGGAGCAGCTTGAGCCAGTTGCTGCTGTTGTGGCCATGACTGTTGTTGTTGTTGTTGTTGAAAGTTTTTTGTTGTTTTTTGGAGAGTAGGAAGTTGAAGTTGTTTTTGTAGAGGTTTTCATAGTTGAAGACATAGTCAGAGGCATAGAATTTGTGATTTGGTGCATACCTTTTGTGTGCATTCGTAGGCGACAAAAGCCAGGCATACTGTGCATGGTTATATATATATATATATATAGTTGTTGTTGTTGTTGGGGTGGAATATATATATATTTTTTTTTTGTTCAATGTATTATACAATAGAGGTGATATCGGTGGTGGTAGTGGTTTTTTTTTGGTGGTGGTAGGTGGGCGAACAAACGAACCAAGGAAGAGAACGCATAAAAGTTAGTTCTGGTTAGTAATTTAATATTTTTTCTCTCACAAAAAGTGCCTAAAAAAATTGGTGGTTGTGTTTGGTTTGTGGTACTTTTTCTTGGGTGTGTGGTTGGGTGCTGTTTATATATTTTAAGAGTGTATTTAAAAATATTTACCTAGAGAAGACCTCCTTGAGTTCATGCTCGGAGACAAATTGCCCGAGATTGGCCACAAACAGGGTGGAGCAGGGCGCATTGGCTGCAATCTGTGGATTTGCCTGTGGATGTGTGGCATTATTTGTGGAACCGGCGGGACTGGCCAACGCTGGACTCGATAAAAAATGATGATGTTGTGCAGCAGCAGCGGCCGTAGCCGCAGCATTCTGTGGAGTAGCAGCAGCCGCAGCAGCGGCCATATGTGCCATTGCAGCTGCACCCGGATGTATAGCAGTAGCAGTGGTCTGATGATGTTGCGGCATGGTCATTTGAGTCTACAAAAAGGAGAGTAAAAATAACAATTAAATAACCATAAAAACAGTTTGAATTGCCAGCTCTTACTTGATGCATAGGCTGCTCCATTACTTTGTCTGTATTTAGTCAGAGATAGGAGCGAACTGGCACCTGCGGATGCAGGGCCGGATGCACTAATGTTGCATGCTGCAGTGCTGCAGCGCCCGGTAGATCAGCGGCGGCTGCTGCCGAATATGCTAACGGATGATGCCATAACTCTGGTCCGCCCGGAAAGAACGGCCCACCCAGATCTATGAGAAATGGAGAATAGTAAACTAATTAGTTTGATTATATCTCCCAAGCTCCAAATCATTTGATTTTTGATTTGATTTTTATTAACATTAAAACACACAATTTTGGTTTCTTTTTTTTTTAGTTTTTAGTTGACAAAAATCAAAAATGGAAATATAACAAGAACAGGTTTCAAAAACGTAAAAAAAATATTTATGTATTATATTAAGTTAAAGAATTTTTTCATATGGAAAGTTCGTTGTCTCAGTCTTTTATTTTGTTTGTCTGGCAAGGGATGGAAAGTTTGTTTTTGAAGGAAATAGTTTCGTAGGGTTGGGTCGCTTTATTGAGGGTTTTAAATTCTATATAAATTTGCATAATTATGTAGATTTTTTTGGAGTTCTTGGATAATATTCTAACAGAGATTTTAAACATTCTAAAAATATATTTTTAAATATTTGAAAAAGTTGTATTGATTTTAAATTAATTTAGTTAGTTTAGAATGCTGCAAATTATTGCCTGAAGAAATTAAAAATGTAGGAAACTTTATTTATTTAAATTTTAACCCCTAACTTTAGCAACTAATTCCCTCTTTCCATCCTCTGCCCATCCGCTGGCACTTTAAGGCTTTTCCTCTTGTCTAAAATTTTGAGCTATTTTTTCTTTGGCGAGTGCGTCCTTTTTTTTTTTTTTTTGAGTATCTCTGTGTGTGTTGCTTGTTTCTATTTTGTGGGTGTCTTGCGTGTGTGTTCGAGTGTGTGTGTGTGTGTGAGAGTTTGAAACAAAGTGTTACAAGTGATCAAAGTGCAGTACATTATATAGGTAGTATATAGTATAGTTATTATTTGTTGTTGCTGTAACCTATAGTTGGGAATATTTATATTGTATGTAAGTATACCCAATAGCGACTTTGATATATTGGTTTGATAATTATATAGCATACATAAATACGATATTTATAAACTTATTATTATATAAAAGTTGTGTGTGTGTTTTTGTGCACTTTGAAGCATGTATTTTTGTTTCGTTTCTTTCTTTACGTATTGTTGGTTCAGTGTTCAAGTGTCAGTGTGTATTCGGTGTTCGATAAGTTAGGATAGTGCTCTGCGTTTATCGTTTATCGAGTACGCCTTCGTTTTTGGTTTTTGTTGTACCCTTAAACATAAATTACTTTGTTTTTTGTATTAATATTTACTACATACAGTAAAATGAAAAATAAAACATAACAAAAAGAAAAACTAAAGAAATTAGCAGCTGCCGAAATCTCATTCTATTTTTTTTTTTTCTTTTTTTTTTACTTACGTCCAGTGAGTGGGTGCATCAATGCAGGATGTGAGGCTGTTGTCGCTGTATTGGGCTGTGGTTTGGGTTTGCTCACTTTCGTGTTACTCTTGGCGAATTCCAAGCGAATTGTTTGGGGCATATCGGGATCGAAGCGTACACCCTGCTGTAAATGATCAGATCAAAATACAGCGGTTTGTATTTTCTATTTTTGTATTTTTTTTAATGTTTTTTTTTTTTTTTATATTTTGATCAAGTTTCTCAAAAGACTTTTCTTTTTTTTATGATTTATAGTTTTTTTTTTTGTTCTTTTTGCAACAATTCGCCAAAAATAATTTTGAATGTCGCGTGAAAGTAACGTTTAATATCAAAAATTGTGTATGAATAATAATTGTCTTAGTAGAGCTTTTTTTATTCATTTGCTTGATAGGGTGGGACAGGGTACGGGCGGGGGAGTGGTCATTCAACGTTGATATTTGTTGTTCTATATATTGGTAGTGCCTGCACTGTATGTACTTTTGTGGTTAATGGTGGGGTTTGGGGTCTTTGGTTTAGGTTGGTTTGGTTTTCTGGGTTTCTTGAAAAGGCAACAATCTGCAATTGTCGGGGATTCCCTATGGGAGTAAGGATTTATAAGCTGTCATTCACATTTAAACGCTAAATTAATGGAATCAATGGAACAATTCGTATAAAATGACTCAAATTTAAGATATTCCAAGGGGATGCTTGTATAATTTTAGATAAAACACAAAGTTCCAGGTGTAAACGTTGAATGATAAAAATCTATGACACCCTTAGAATGGAATGAAACACAAAAAAGAGTGTTTAAAACGTTAAGTAATACGAATCAATGCCAATTTGTTACTAACAAATAGTAAACGCTGAAAATCTGCTAGAATCCAGCAGTGGAAAGACGATTTCGTTAAGAGCTCAGCGCTCAAAGAATCTTTTGGGGTAGCTTCGACTTCTTGTGGGTGAGAGATGGACAGAGTGTTGGAGAGGGGGGGTCATGCACCAGAGAGGGAGGTGGGCTTGAGAAGTGGCTTTCAATTCGTTGTTGTTGTAGTTGTTGTTGGTGCTATTGCGCTTTTGCCTCTTTGTTGTTGTTTCTTGCAGAGAGCTTTTGCCATAGATGAGAGTTTGTGTGTACTTTGAGTGTGTGAGTGTGATGAGTGTACCCGTTTATAGGTGCGGGTGTGTTCTTTCAGTGAGTGTGTGTGTGTGTGTATTTTCTGCGTGTTTTTTTCTGGGAGAGGGGGTAGAATGAGAGCAAAGATTAAGAGAGAGAGAGAGAGAGAGGGAGATGCAATACCAAAAAATACAAAAAAATACACAACTCAATAAAGAGAAAAGAGACAGCGAGAAAGAGAGAGATAGAGTGAGAGTAGGACAGAGAGGGGAAAACACTTAATGCGATTTTTGGGTGAAATATAAGTTTTGATTTGGTTTTTTTTTCAGTTTTCAAATGCAAGCACGTGGTTTTTTTTGTGTGTGTAGATCTTTGTTTGTTTGTTGTTGATTTCTTGTTGTTGTGGAAGTGATGAGAGCGAGAGCTTTAATGGCTCCACATTTTTTTATTTTGAGATACACATTGCATTATTTGTTGTTGTTGTTGGGAGATAGCAGCGGCTAAGAGGGCCTAAAAACGGTATTTTATTTTTTTTAGGAAGCCAGGCATTACGATTATACAAGTTTTTTAAGTTGTTTGTTTTTTTGTTTGTGTGCTTTACAGTGTGGTATACTTTTTATTCGCCGAGAAGAGGTAGGGGTTTTAGTTTTTACTCTCATATTATCTTTTTTTGATAAAAAAATTGCTAAAAAATATTTTGGTGTTCTTTTTTAGAGATATAGAAATATTATTAACGGAGTAAATGTATTACCTGCAGATCCTGTTTGGCTGCCTCTGCACCAGCTCTTGTATGGAATGTCACAAAGCCCACGGGCTGCAGAGGGTAAAACAATTAATAATTAGAAATGTAAATCTTTTGGAGGATTAAAACTTTTGCTTACCGATGCAGTTTTGCCATTTTTGCTAGTCACTTTCAATAGAGATCCTTCGTAGCCCTAATTAATAAAATATTTCATTATAAATTATATATATATATATATATAAAATATATAAAATTTTATAGAATAGAAATTAAAACTCACCTCGTAGGCTCTGAATAGTAAATAAAGTTCACGCGGCTTGGCATCCATAGGCAAACCGCTGACAAAAAGTGTGCGAACCTGCAAATAGTTAGACGAATAACGGATTAATAAGATGATTGTTTGGTAACGAAAAAAAACCAATATCCAGTGATTGCATAATTAAGTTAAAACTGTCACGTATGGAATTTCAACCTTCAAGCTGAATTTTTCAACTTGGATAATGTTGGATGTACCAAAAACAAGATCATGACACGCACATGACAACAGAAGACACAAGAGGCAAGCAAAAAGAGAGAGAGAGAAGGAGAAGAGAGGGAGAGGGAGAGCAACACTGTCATAGAAAAGCAGGGATGGAGGGCGGACGGTGGGACACATGTACACACATACTGATAATGAAACCAAATGGAATAAGCGCCATAAACGCTGAATTCATTATGACAACGCCAGGGAGACGTAACTCTGCTAGGTACACAGAAGCTACAGCAGGACACAACGACTGATTCCATGGGGAGTACTGAACGGTACAGAGGACATGTGTACCAGCAAGGGCACTAAATGAGTCCTCCCCTCCACCCTCACCCTCCCCGCATTCTCACACATCTCTGACAGCTTTTTATTTTTAACACCTAGGCGAATATGTTTGAGCAGGTAGCAAGAGTTTCATTTTGAGCTATTGCATGTGTGTGTATAAGAGTTTGGGGTTTAGGTTAATGCTTATACATACATATGTATTCGGGGTAGCTCTCACACTGGGTTAGTGTTTATTTTTGTGCTTTTATTCGGGTGCATACTTTGTGCTAAAAGGTTAAATTTACTTTGTCGGGTGAATGGAATGGATGATACGAGTGTGTGTATAGAGCATAGGAGTCATCATTAACCTTATAATTTTGGGGTTTCTATTTTATTTCTGTAGTTAAATGTTTGTTGGGTTAGCGAGACGAGCAATTACTAGAACTAAAGTCCCTTAAAATTTTTAATATCCATATTATATGTGCATTCTACATTGAAATATACTCTGCACAACATGCTTGTAGATTTAATTCCACGCTTAAACCCACAAATAACTCTCAAAGCCGTCTCCACTAACAGCTGCCTACAGCCACACACTTTCGATTTCATTTTAAGTAAAAGAGGGGGACGAAGAGGAGCAGCAAGGTTCGATCACGCTACTTTTTTTGAAGGTAAACGAAGTACCGCAACTGTCGCTTTCGTTTTGCAGTGGTAGAGCACTAAGAACAGCGCAGCCGAAAGAGAGCCACACTAACACATACACTCTTCCTCGCCATCTCAGTCCACTCCAGGGCCGGCTTCAGGTCAACCCCCTTGAAATCTGAAAGCCTAGAACAGAATATCACTAGCCATGCATTTTGCGCCCCCACAACTTGCCCTAAAGCCGGCCCTGCTCGTTACATCGACAGTAGCCGAAAACTGTACACTATCGATCTCCCTTTGTAGTAGGAAAAGAAGATGAAGGAGAGCGAGCGTGGTCGAGTGTGGGAGAGCAACAAGTACAAGAGCGGCTACGCAGCTGCATCCCGCTCACAATTTTATCCATGCTTGACCATTTAAAGGTTAGCTCCGCGTCGGTCCGCGAAAACGGGAAAACTCGGTAAATCAAATGGAAAGAAGTGTCGCGGATTTGTGCAGTGGTTAATAATTCAAATGGGCAGTAAGTAGTGTTTTTGCGTAATAAGAATAGCTGGTTCATGTTGCAGAGGCGTTCCACAAGGCGAAATGGCAAACAACGGCAGATCGGCGAGGGAAAAATGCGGCAATGTGAAGTGATTGAATTGAAAATTGAAAATGGGGCAAAAAGTTGTGTTTTAGTGAGTAATCCAGTGCAGAGGCGTTCCTCTAGGCAAAATGGCATCCAAGCTGCAGAGACGATCCACATGGCGAAATGGCAAACAACGGCAGATCGGCGAGGGAAAAATGCGGCAATATGAAAGTGAAGTGATGTGTAGTGCAGTGTGGTGTTGTTGTGAAGTGAAAAATAATTGAAAGCAGTGTTTTAGTGCATAATCCAGTGTAAAGGCGTTCCACAAGGCAAAATGGCATCCAAAAGGTGAATCAGCGAGGGAGAAAGTCGGCAAAATGTGAAGTGAAGTGTAGTGCATATAAATGCAATAATAGTTTTTTTTATTAATGCTGAAATCAGAGGAGCTCACGAGCCACGAAATTTGTTTCTCGATTGGTCACGTGATGTCTTGATATTTGTATGTGTGCATATGTAGAAGATGTAAAGCGCGCAGAAAAGAAGAGTAGGGTTAAAAAAATGAGCGAGCGCTAATCGTTCGCTCTCCCCCTCAAAGTGTCACAAAATGTGAGGTGCGGCATTTCAAGTCATGGCGAGGCGGCGCTCTCTCTCTCTCTTTAGGAGTGTGCCCTTGGCTTGTGGAAATTAGGCATGTGTGGGAGTGATGCCTCCATGGCCTCACCTTTAATTCATGTCGTCTTATTGAAAGACGACAAAAGCAAAAATATGAAAAGTGTGTGTGTGAGTGCAGTGTGAGTGCTAGAAAAATCTTTCCATTTGTCGTGTGTTTGTTTCTCGTCGTCGTGCGTTCGCATGTGTGTAATGATCAGCAAAATGCCGAAAAAGCAAAAGAAACGTTGCAATACAAGATGAACTATTCGCACAAGAATAAAGCGAATGAAAAGTGGAGAAGAAGAGAAACAGACGCGTGAGTAGAAACTTTTCAAACTGTAATCCATATGTATTTCCGCCCTTTGTAAACTATCTTTGTCCCTAAAGTTAATCTTTCGCTACTGCCATTGAATTTTTCCCTCAGTTGGCACTCCCTTTCACTCTGTCTCTCTCTTTCTCCATTACCCCCCCCCCCCCCTGACAGTGTGTGCGGTGTATTTTTTACAAAATTAAAACGTGTTCTATCAATGCAATCTACCTTTATTTTTTCCCCTCGCTTGACTCCGTAATCTACTGTGAACTCTGCCCCTGGGTTCGTTTTGTTGTATAAAAATAGTGATACAAGTTGCAACATGTCACGCATATTGACGAAGGTGAGAGGGTGGAAAGCGAAAAGAAAAGGGGGCGGAAGCGGGGAGTGTCATGGACTCCTGGGGCAACATTTCAAGTGCAGCAGGAAACAGGAAGAGCTGCTGGTGTCTTGTCCTTGTCCCTTGTCCGTAGATCTCGGACATTTTTCACAAATTAATTAGCCAAAGTCCGACCTCTTTCCACCCTCCTTCCTGCTGCTTTCTACCAAATAAAATTAAGAAAAGGAGCCAAAAGCAAGAATAACAAAAGGGTATGCAGCGGGAAGGTGGGGGGAGGTAAAACCTTTAGCATGGTCAGTTAAATAGCAATTTAAATTAATTTTTATGCAGTCAGCGGCGGTTTCTCCCAGACTCCTCTTTGGCTAATTGATGGCAATAATGAGGCTCCGGCTCTGGCCAGGAAAAAAAGGCAGCCAGCCAAGCATTGGCTGGCATAATTGGTGGGTAGGGCTGGCGTGGTTTTATTTTTTGAGTGCTAATGGCAATTGAAATGCAATTTATTAAATGCCTCAAAAGTGTAAATGAACTTAGCGGAAAAGATGTTGAAGCTTTTCTGTTTTTGGATGCCTTTTTCTTTGAGTAAGGTAAGCTGCATTGTGTTGGAAAGAGCCCTGGATAGCAATACAGATTAAAATTATGAGAGGAATGCTTAAAAATAATCCAAAAGGTGTTTAGAAGATTGTATTTTCGACAAGAAATCACTAAATATGTAACTTCCGATAGTGTTACGAGTAAAAACTAAACAAATTACTAAAGTATCTTTGCAGTTGTAACCCTCGATTACAGTTTTGTTTTAGCACTGTGCCAGACAGGAATCCTACCTTTGAATCTATCTCCCTAACCCACCTAGAAACCTATGGAACATCATATGCCGTGCATGTGTCTCTATCTCTATGTTGATTTGACTTGTGTGCGCTTGTGGGCATTGCGGATAGACATTTAGTATTTTGGCAACCATAATACACACACACACACACAGGAGTAGGAGGAGGAGCAGTAAACTTCAACTTCAACTCCAACTCCAATTGCATGATTCCCATACCAATTCCGACAAACTGCACAGAGGAACTTGGATGGGGCTTACATATGCAAGCGACATTATTTTGGTGTGCACTGGCAACTCCCCGACTCGAATTTTGGATTTGGATTTCTCTGTTGTGGGCGTGGCATCCACTGCACTCTATCTATCTACATATCTCCTCTTGTTGTTGTTTGTGCTGCTGTTCTTGCGGGTTTTGTCTAACTCTGGTTGCCAAAATCCATTTAAATACAGCAAAATTGTACTGCCTCCCGTCTCTATCTGCCTGTCTGTTGGTCAACCTTGCAACTTGGCTCTGATTTTGGCTTTGGCTGAGAACCTGAAATCCATTTCCCCTTCTGTCTGTTGTGTCCTATGTGTGTGTGTGTGTGTTTGCTATTTGCGGTTTACTGTTTGTTGCCAAGAAGTTAAAGTTACTCCTCTCTCACTCTCTCCCTCTGTCTCTCGGTCTGTTGTTTGCCGCAATGCACTGTTTCTCCAGTTGATATTCCTTTTGGCCAAAAACTTTGTTTATAATTATGCACGATTCCATTTATTTGTTGGGCTTCGCAAATAAATTGCCCTAACTTTTGGGTGATTTACTTGAATATTTCAAAATGGCAAATGTCCCTGTCTGTCAGTCTGTCTGTTAACCGGATGTTACAAGAGGATACTAACATTACGTTTAATGCTCAATAGAGCTTTTTCATTCATGTGTATTTTATGTAATTTATATTTTATCTCATTTATAATATTTTTAAAAATGCTTTATTTATTTTATTTTATTTTACCAATTAAATTCTGATGTACTCTTGGGCATTTTCGCACACAATTTCCTGTCACTGCAAAGTGCCGTCGGTGTTTAACCATAGCTGGAAATCTCATTGTTGCCACAGGCAACAGTTTCATATGTTTTTGTGGAAGTGTCACTCTCCCTCTCTCGAGAGACTTGCCTACCCTGGTCGACCTTGTCTTTGGTTGTCGTCTGTTGACTGTTGTGCTCTGTCGTTCTATTGGGCCAACATAAACAGTGTAAGTAACA